TATAGCCTTTTATCTTCATTTCACTTTAAATAGTTTGTCCTTCTGTGTGTCGGGGGGTGGGAGGAGGGGGGGCTGTTCCCTCTGAATGGCCATCAAGTGACCTAGGGGCCAAGGAAGCTCCCCGCAAACACGGGGTTCTGTCCTAGGTACCGCATTCACACAGTCCCCTTCTCAATAGTTCAACAGTCACGTTGGAAAGCCTGACTCCAATGGACCCTGCCATTGCCTTGCTGTTGGGGAAGGTCATCATAAAGACATGACTGCTAATTGACCCGTGAGCTGGACCCCAGCACTTGGAGGCTCATCACCCCCTCCCCTGTCCTGGGAATGTGGGTTCTGCTTGCCTTCCCCACTCCTACTAGAGACTGCTCCAAGGACAGAGCCTTGAGGGAGTGATGTGGTTTTAAGAACACCTACATGGTTTATGTGACTGAATCCAGTTAAAGGGCCTCTTTATACACTTTTAAGATTTGGCAGGCGAGTGCAGGAATCCATTAGTCTTGGTGCCGCCCAAGACAAGTCTCATATGTAAGTTCCCTTGGCTTATTAAAACTGCCACCTGCCAAGCTGGAGCGGCCTGACTCTTCTGTTTCTCCCTGCCCTCTGAGTACAGAGACCAGTTTCCGATCACACCCGGGAAGTTTCTGGCAGGATTATGAACCCGTACTTGCTGTGTGGCCCTGACCAAGTCTCTTGACTTCTCCGGGCCTCTCTCTCCTCTACAGATGAGAACAAGCCAACTGGACCCAGTGTGAGCAGTGTGAAGCAGGAGCTGGGAAGAGACTGCCCCCACCCAAGAGATTTACAGAAACACAGTCAGGGGTTTTCACATTTTTCATTCTCATCTCTAAGGCCTCGAGGGGCTCACGTGGCCGGACCCTGGACGAGGGTATTCTCTACTAGTAGTAGTCTCTGCCTGCTCTCCACCTTCTTCCGACCTGCCTTTGGTCTCAGAAGCCAACTTCCAGAGACTACAGTCAGGGCACCCTCACCTCCAGCTTTGATTGGGTTTGGCCAATGAAGGAAGAGGAAGAGGTAGGGGTGAGACTCCTGGCACCTCCCCACTCTCCTCTCCATTTCCCTGTGTTCCTGGCAGTGGCAGCCTTTTGCAGATACAGATCTGGTTGGGCGGCCCCTCCTCCTGGACTCCAGCTCCCAGGGGTTTCCATCACAAAGTTCCTTTTACCTTATCTCTCCAGGGGACGGGCGTTAAAAAGACTTCTTGCCGTTGTCAGCCACTGTCAGCCACCGGGGACCTCACACCTCTTATCAGTTCCCTTGACCCTGCAAACACCTCTGCAGACTGTCCTTCCATGACCAAACCCTCTGAATGGGCTCTTTCCTGTCTTACCTATCTGACGCAGACTCTTACTGGTACCTTTCTTCTGGCATTCAGAATTGGTGTTCTAACCAACCCTGGCTCCGGACAGGTTCCCCTATAAGACCAAGAGGCGAGTTTCAAAGGGACAAAACAAAGATCTCTTTGCTGCCAGGCACTTTGTCTTCCAGCTGCACACACCCTCTCTCATCCTGGGTGCAAATGAGTGAGTGGAAAGTCATCTAATGGTCGGCTACCGGGTGACATGTTTGACCAAACACAATCCTGTTGCTCACCATAATTATCTGTATTTGTGTGTAAGCTGCATTCCTCTGGCCATCTGTCTTATTTTTGGTTGACAGACTTCCAGATTCCCACTCTTTTATTCATGCATAATACACAAATGATTCACAAATGGGAAAGTCAGCAGGGCTCCTTCTACCTCAGTCTCCTCGTCTGTATAAACGGGATAATAATACTGTCAACCTCACAGAGCTGGTGTGAGAATTAAATGAGTAACATCTGTAAGTGTTTAGAACAGCAGGTGCAAAGTATTGTCTAATACTATTATTATACTCTCTCATCTGGTTCCTCTTGGCTCACTTTCCTGAGCTTGTCTGTGGCAAGGGAAGCAGGGGACCTGGGTAGGAATTCCCAAGTCCCCCCACTTTCAAGGTTTTCCTCAGCTTTCCCCTCCCCCTCCCCCTCCATACCCCATTGCAGAATAGATCTCCTTCTTTGCCATCTTTTCTAGCCCAAGAAGCTTCTGGAAGGGCAACCAGAGCAAGTTGTGATCCTTATATGTTCTGCTTTCAGTTCTAGACTGGGGGTTTTCATATGGTGGCCTGGAGAGCCCTAGGGCTCCTAAAAAGCACCCCCCCACACACACACACACCAGACCACAGAAAGTGGGTATCACTCTAGGTCACATCCTTTAGCTTGCTTTTATCTGTTTAAGCTTTCTTTCAAGATTTTGTTTGAACAGAGGCTTCCAGGACTTTAAAAAGTTGGAAATCCCTGTTCTGAGATATTGAAGCCCTAGATCTGGCAACTCTCAGTCTTAATTTCTTGGACTCCAGTGCCAAGGAACTTTCTTTACTTCATTCAAATAATTTGTATTCTTTTCTATTTCTGATGCTCTGTAACAGATATGTGAACAAGCACATCTTTGTGTATTTGTCTGGGATGTCTTTCCCAGGTCCTGAGTATGTTCAGCAAATATTGTCTCCTTAATTTGCAGGCCTCTAGGGAAGATAACTACAGCACTGTTTAACAATAGAAACCTTTGAAGGCACTTGATGTTTACTGGCACCCTACTCAGCCACTGGAATACTTCCAACCCAGGAATCAAAAGACTACTAGGACTCTATCCTGATAAGACTGGGCCAAGCCTGCTCCTAATGGCTGCTAGCAATAAGGGAAGTAAGGTAGCAGAAGCTGTACAGGACTGGCAGGGAATATGTGAAAGGAGCAAAAGCCCTAACCTCCAGATCTTTGCCTGGAATGCCTTTATCCCAGATTGCCACAAGGCTCCCTCTCATTTGGCTCAACTATTACCTCATTAGAACTGCCTTAAGACTAGGGGCACAAGAAGCTCTTACCTTCGGCTCTGAGCTCTCTGGTCGTCTTCTAACCATAATCTTTTCCACCGAGCAAGAAGCCCGTGGGCCAAGGGCCCACTCAATTTCCTGCTCCTCATCCCTTATTAGATCATACTGTGGGTATCCAAGACCCTAGAATTCTCTGTCCCTATAGCACTAGGCCAGCTTCTAGAGATTTCATTGGCCTTTCCATCTTCTAGAGGAGCCAAGAAACAGCTATTTGCAGGAGGTGTGAATGAAGCTCAAATGTGCAGACTCAGATATTGTAGGTGTGGGCAGATGGCCCCTTGAAGTATGGGAAAGAGCTGGAGTGCAAAGAATAGGAAGAAGGCCAGGAACCAGTTACCCCTTAAACCACCCCATTCCGGTGTACATCTTGGGGGAGCCCAGGAATTCTAAATTTAAATTTGGCCTTCCAGATTATGATGAAGGTATACTGTCACAATGAAAGGATAGGAATTTTACATGCCAGTTTAACTTAGTTTGTAATTTTTAAGTGTGTAGACATACGTGGGCCTCCATTTGTACTGTTGACCAAAACTCTGTAAATATTAGGGGTAGACTCATCCCTGACCACACTGTGTAAAATAAAATAGCACTTCTCTGTCACTCTATTGTTCCTCTATTGTATAGTTCTTCGTAGCATTTGTCACCATCAAATCTACATTTATTTGTATATCATCTCTCTATCCCTAACTCCACTAGAATGTAAGTCAGTGACTGTAGAGTCTTGGTTTGGTTTCCTGTCTTAGCCCCCCCCCCCTTTTAAAGACTTTATTTATTTGACAGAATATGAGAGAGAGAGAGAGAGAGAGAGAGAGAGAGAGAGAAAGCAGGTGGAGCTGCAGAGGGAGAGGGAGAAGCAGGCTCCACCTGGAGCAGGGAGCCCAAAGTGGGGCCCCATCCCAGGACCTGAGATCATGACCTGAGCCCAAGGCAGAAGTTTAGCCAACTGAGCCATCCAGGCTGCCCTGCTCTCTTATTCTTAGTACTACCTAGTGCAGTGCCTGGCACAAAGAAACCACTCAGTAGATGTTCAGTGAATAATGAGTCCGGTCTCAGATGGCTTGCAGATGAGGTGGGCTAACAGAGAAAACACACAGGAAAAACATCACGTGTGACAATGCTCTAAGGAGCTCTGTCTGTAAAATCACTCCGCCTAGGAGCTACAAAAGGTGACCAGGGAAGATTAACTATTAAACACCTCAGTACGCACGAACACAAAGTTAGTTGCGGGCTGCCTTGTGAGGGGACACCTGAGTGCCCAGGGCTTCGAGTGAGGTGTGGGGCACCTGGGCTGCTGGGAGCCCCACTGGAGGAATCCCCTCACAACCTTAGGAGGGCGGCCAGACCCGGGCACCCAGGAAACCTTGATCCCAGCGCAATGACCACACCAATCTGGCCCAGCGTGGGGGGGAGGGGCTCCTCATGCACGACTAGGAAGCCCTCAAATATGCTTCCTCGGAGGTCACAGGCCTCAGGGGTGTGGGCACATCTCATCCCTGTGGGGTCAGGAGGATCACAGACTCGGAGACCTTCCCTCTTCTCTTTCACCAGTTTCTAAACTCCCATCTACCTGCGTGGAGCGGTCTCCAGAACTTTTGGTACAGCATGAACCGGTCCAATCTATCCCAACTTACTTCTTTTCCGTTAGATACGGGGCTCCTGAGAAGCCAAATGACCTCCTCGAGTCCCCAGCAGCCACGGCAATACCGGTCCGGGACTCGGCCGGGCGAACGCCCCTCGGATTTGGGGTGGGGGCTCCTGGGCGGGGGCTGCGCTCCTCGCACCCCCTCCCCACCCCCCGCAGCGGGAGGCGGGGGGGGGGGGGACCGGCGAGCGCAGGTCCTCGGGGCGGGGGCGGGGGCGGGGGCGGAGGGGGCGGAGCCTGGAGGCTGAGGGGCGGGGCCTGGAGGCTGAGGGGGCGGGGCCCGGAGGCGGGGCGGGCGGGGCGGTGCCGGGCGGTGGAGGGGCGGAGCCCGGCTGGCACAGCTCCGCGGGGCGGGGGAGGGGTCGGGGTCGAGGGCGGGGCCGGGCGGCGGAGGGGGCGGGGTCCCGAGGCTCCTCCCCGCGACCGACGCCGGCGAAGCGGCGGAGCGGCCGGGCGCCCACTCGTCCGACCCTGGGGCGCGGAGGTGGGCGCCGCGGCGCAGGATGGGCTGGTGCGGCTGCCGCTCGGGGCCGCCGCCGTCGCGGCTGCTGCCGCTGCTGCTGCTGCTGGCGGCGACCGGCGCGGCCCCGCGCTCCGCGCTCTACTCGTCCTCCGACCCGCTGGCGCTGCTGCAGGCGGACACGGTGCGCGGCGCCGTGCTGGGTTCCCGCAGCGCCTGGGCCGTGGAGTTCTTCGCCTCCTGGTGCGGCCACTGCATCGCCTTCGCCCCGACGTGGAAGGCGCTGGCCCACGACGTCAAAGGTGAGAGGCGGGCGGGGGGGGGCCGCGCCTCCAGGCCGACCCCCTCCCCCGGCCCCTGCCCCTGCCCGCGCCCGCACCGGGCCTCTCCGCGCCGCGTCCGGCGCCCGCCCCGTCAGCCTCCGCCGCCCCGCGCCTCCGCCCGGCTCTTCCTCCCTGCCGCTCGCATCCCCCCCTCCCCCCGGCCTTCTGGCCCTCAGCTCCGTGCTTTGGCCCCCGCGCCTCGCGGTCGCCTCCCTTGGCGGCTGCGGCGCGCTTCTCCCACCGCCGGGCCGGCCGGCCGGGCCCTCACACCTGCTCTGCCCCCTGCCCCGTCCCTGCGCCGGCCTCTGCTTTGTTCCTCCTCCCGCTCTGCTGTCGCCGGTGGCAGGCACCTTCCTGCCGGGGTCCGCAGCTGCTCTGGGGTCGGTGCCGGGGAGGAAGCTCCCTCCGCCGCCCTCCAGCCCCGCTCGGCCTGTTGACCCGGCGGCTACCGCGCAGACGTCGCTCTTCAGCCTCACTTTGGAGCCGGCTCTCCTGTCTCGGTTCTAGGCCTCTCCTGACCTGCGGCCTCCAGCTCCTGGGCCGCATGCTCCCCCTTCCCCTTGGCCAGGCCCCCTGTCAGACCCTCTGATTTAACCCGCGAACCCAGATGCGCGCCCGAAGGCAGCCTCTTGGTGTGTGGCCCCTGCTCCCTGCTCCTGGTCCCCGGCCTGACCGCCAGCAGCATATTCCCTTGATTCCAAGAGCCCCTCCGTTGTGAGACGTGCCACTCGTTTACTAACAGTCTGAGGGGGTAAAGAGAGAACGAGACCGCTAAATGTTTTGAGATTTAAAGGTGTACTCTATTACAGAAATGGTAAGGTTTTTTTTAGACACTTAAGATCTGAACTGAAAAAAATATGGTAATAGGAGTAATGTTTGCAGATGCTCACTCTGTGCCTGACACCTTCCTGGGTAAGTACGTGACTCCATTATCCCAGAGTTTCCTTTCCAGAATTTAAGGATCTCTGTGGTGTCACACGGCTGCCTAGCCCAGATAGTGGGTGTTTGGTGGGTGTGGTGGTAGTGATTTGCTTCTGATTTGCTGCCTCCGAATGGAGCTACTTCCTGGTTGTGGTGCTAGGGCCCTAGCTCGGCTCCTCACTGGGAATGGTCACTGAATGAGAACTGTGGGCATCTGAGGGAACAGGCCTCTCTCTAGAGAGAGAACTGGAACTGTTGTTTCCATGCTGTGCTGTTGGCATTTTTTAAAGCTCTCATTATTATTATTATTATTAATTATTACTCAGAGAGAGAGAGAGAGAGAAAGCACAAACCAGGGGAGGGCTACAGGAGGAGGGGGAGAAGCACACTGCCTGCCAAGCAGGAAACCTGACATGGGGCTCAGATATTGACCTGAGGATCATGGGACCCCAGGATCACGACCTGAGCTGAAGGCAGACATCTAACCTACTAAGGCACCCAGGCACCCCTGGTATTTCTTGATCATCTCAACCATTCGTGATAGAGTAGTGCATTTGTAGCTGTTGGTTTTCAAACTCAGGCTTCCCCTGAGCAGCTTGCATAGCGGTTACTGAAGTGGCCAGATGGAAAGATGTGTACATCTGTTAGCCATATGGTCCTGGAACGTTATTTTTAACAAAACCGATAAACTGTTTTTACCTCCAGTGTACATGTAGGCACTTGTCAGCATGCCTCTCTGGTCCCATCACCTGAATGTGCCATTTCTCAGCAGCTCTTCACACTGTTTCAGTGATGTCAACACATCTAGTCAGGGCAAGAGGAGGCGAGAGTGCTGAACATGGAACAGGAACACCTGAGGGGACATTAGTGTTCAGGGGACCTTGTGGGCCTGAAAAATCATAAGAATCCCCAGATCAGTTTCTACCTTGAGGCTGTGAGAGGTCTTGAAGGGCTGCCGATGAGCCCAATCTAGAAGATTCTTCTATCTTAAGAATGCTGGAGGGAAGGTTTAGGTTCCAGCTGACTCATGTGTTTGGCCTTCTGCAACCCACAGTTTTCCAAAGAGTTGCATAGCCAGACACTGACCCAGCTCACTCCTGGCTGAGGGCTGCCCCTTCCAAAAGGGGTCTTTTCCTAGTGCATGGGGTGGCAGGCTTCCCCTAAAAACTGCAAATGGAAGCTTCATCTCAGGAAGGACAGGGGAAGCATCAAAATCTGTGGAGATGAACCACAGCCAATGGGAAGTAGGAAATTTAGGTGGGGAGCAGAGGTCTCCCATGAGCCACTGGGATGGGTCAGTCTCCTTAAGAAGATCGTGTTGGGGGAGAGTGCTGGCCGAATCTGGTGTCAGCCTGCAGTGATAAGAATGCCCCCACTCCATTCCAAGGATGAGGCCCCGCTGAGAAGCCAGGGTTGTTCTCACATCATCTCTGTTTTACTGAGTTTCAAGGCTCCTTGGCTCGAAAATGGCTGTGGGCCTGCAGAGGCTTGAACATCATCTGGGGCCTGTGGGAGTGTGGCTCCTGCCTTCTGCCAATGCTGTATCTGGGGTAGGAGCAGTGAGAGTGTAGAAGGTCATGAGGGGAGAGAAAAATTTTTGCAACCCTGCCCAGCTGGCCTCAGGCATTTAATCGGACTGGCTAGGGCTCATTTATTCAGTGACTTGTGGGATGGGTTCTCCGGGGCAATTGTTGCCATGGGCCAGGGCACTGGCTTCTAAATATCTGGTTCATCCCTTTCTATTCCAGGACGGCTCTCACTGTGTCGCCATATGTTTGGGAAATTGATTGTGTTCCTTTTAGATCTTCATTAGTCTTCACTGGCTAATCAATCTGTAAATATTTGTTAAGTGACCTCTGTGTGCAAAACCTTGTTTACATTGCAGTTTGGGAAATGAGCTACACATAGCAGAAAAATTGGCAACAGTAAGAGGCTGTGTTTGAAAAGGGCCAAAGGAGTGGCTCAACCATTTCTTGTAGGAACTCAGGGAAGGGGACAGTCACAGAGGGCTAAGCTGGTCACCAGGCCTTAATTTAAGCAGTTATTGATCACACACTTGCTTAATGCACTTTGCTAAGGGCCTTTACAGGTTCCTATTACTTGTGTGTATATGTATATACACACACACACATATATGTTATATATAACCTTTATGAGAAAATATCTGAGGAATCAATTGTTCTTTGTTTTTAACAGATAAGTAACTTGCCCAAGATTGTACAGATGCTGGGCGAGGTTCCTGAACCCATCTCTTTCTCTCCAGACCATAGGCAGGTGGAGAGATGGGTGACACTCTGGGTGACAAAGTGGTCTCTGCAAAGCCACGGAGATGACATAAGGCATGGATGTTTGAGTGACACTGACTGGTGTTGGTTTGCCTTCTTTTCTTTTCCACGGGTGTAGACCGCCTCTCTTGTACCCCTGTGATGCCTTAGTGCAGAGCCTGGCACAGGGTAGGAGCCCACTGAATATTCACGCATGCCAATGGCATGAGCCTCACAAGATTCCAAATGAGAATATAGTGACCAAACCTTTTGCTGGTGCTGTGGCTCTTCTGGACTCAGACCTGGGGTGTCAGCCAGGTGTGAAGGCTAGGGATGGCATTTTGTCTATCCCGTGACCTCACTGCCCAGAAGTCTGCAACAAGGAGGAAGGGATGCGGTGGTGACAGCATGGCACAGGTGGGATAATTCCCCATCAGGTGGTCTCCTGGAGACTTGGATGGGGGTCTGGTTCTGACCACTCGACTTGAGTGGCTCTTGGTGCTTTGGGTGAGCCTGGCCTCTGTCTTTTTTTTTTTTTTTTTTTTTTTAATGATAGAATGAGAGAGAGAGACAGAGACACAGGAGGAGGGAGAAGCAGGCTCCATGCTGGGAGCCTGACGTGGGACTCGATCCCAGGACTCCAGGATCGCGCCCTGGGCCAAAGGCAGGCGCTAAACCACTGAGCCACCCAGGTTCCCCCTGGCCTTTGTCTTAATAGGAGCCTGATTAACATTCAGAGGACTCATGGTCATTTTTCTTGTGGAGAGTTGTTTGCCATCCAGCACTTGAACAGTTGTTCGAACTGGAAAGGGCAGGAGATACCATCTATCCTGGTCCCCGTTTGACCCACAAGGCCCAGAAAGAAGACATATGGTGCTTTGGGCACTTAGAGCTATACGCAAGTCACACAACTTGCTCCGGGTCCATGCCCCTTCCTGGACTGGTGAGTGGGGGTGGGGATACTGCCTGTGTCTCCAGATGGAGCCCATGACCCCCCCTCGCTACATGTGCCTCCACTCGCTACCCCAGAGACCATAGCTACCCCAGTTATGCTTGTGTCCACACCCCTCCCCTCTCTGTTTGCTCATTTACTCCGTTGTTAGTAGAGAAATCACTTTGCCAGGGCAGTAATTGCACCAGGAGACGTTCTCCCCAAGAGTCGGGCTGGACTGATACTGCTAATGTTAAGTGTTACACCTGCACATTGTGGTGTTTTAAGTCACCTGACACTTAAAAAGCCTCCCTCACCCAGTCCTCTTCTTTGACAGCACTGCACTTTACCTAAATGCAGCTTTGCATTACCAGTGGGCACCCAGACAAGGGTCCTCTTTATTCCTCCTATGGTTACTAGAATGATGAATGGTCAGGCCCGTGGTGATTAGAATCAAACCAGATCTTTATATGTCATTATGGCTCGTTAAGGTATTGACATTGATACTCCTGAGAAACATTGCTTAGCCAAGACTCTTAACACCTGACTGGCCTCAGCCTCCTCCTCCTCCTCCCCCTGGGGCTGGAGCAGGTAAGAGGAGGCAGTGGTTCCATTTCATGGAGGGACTTGGAATCAAGGTATAAATATAAGGTATAAAGAAGTCAAAGACCTGCCCAGGAGCAAGGGGCTGGCCACCACCTTTCCTCCTGGTCTACGAAGGGCCCCCTCCACCCCACCGTCTCTGGCTTTCCTGGTTGGACAGCCAGCAGAACAGCTCTGTCTTCTGTCTTGGGCCCCCTTGAGACTAGAGGAGAGACTCAAATTCTAGGTTCAGATCCCAGATTTACCATTGATTCATGTGTACCTTGGGCATGGTTCTCAGATCCTTCTTTTACAGTGGGGAAAAGTTCTGGAGATAATAATTCCTTTCTTTCTTCCAAGGGTAGTTGCAGGTTGAAGGAGATAAGTTAAGGGCAACAGACTCTTTGTAAACTCTCTGTATGCATGATATCATCATCTAAGAGCCAAGCCTGTGGCAGTGACTGGGTGCTTGAGTTCGAGAATCATATGGTGTTTGAGGACAGCATGGTTTTTACCATTCTCTTTTTCATGGGGAAGGTAGTGATCAGAGCAAAGAGCGAAAATAGAGGGGTAATTCTGTCCCTGGTGAGGCAGAGGGGGAAGAGAAGTGGGTTTGAGTCTGGTAGCCCTCGAACAACTTGGCGGCTTCAGTTGCTTTTTGTAAAGTAGGGGGAATGGTGTCCCCCTCCAGGGCCAGCAGCGGAGAGAGGTCATTTAGGGGTGTCCCCATTGAGCGCCAACTGTCTCTTCTGTCCCCTACCTGTCCCTTCAGCCCTTATGTGCCAAGGGCAGCAGGCACTGACTCCAGCCCAAGGGATGGCCTCCTGCACTCTTGGAGAGGAGAGTCCTTGGTCACCCCACCACGTGGCTTTGTGAGACTCTTTGCCAGCAGCCCTCACTGGTGGAAGGAAAAGAAATTGCTCTGTTCCATGCTTGTGTCTCATTGATTTAATCTTTTGAGAGTAGCCAAGTCTCCTCTATGGGTCTCACCACACAAAGTGACCAGAGCCCGAGATGTGTAATAGAAGGAGCAAAGCCTGCAGTGTGTCAAATGGCGGAAGGGGGTGACTTGTGCTTCCCTCTCTCCCCTGGGCCTCCCCTGGGCAGGGAGGAGGGCACAGAAGGGCGGCCTGAGGTGCTCTTGTCTGTGTTCCAGGGCAAACCCTGTACCTGGGCAGCTCTGGTCGTGGGCATTACCTTCACCCCAGGCTTGGACCTGCCAGGCTGAGGCAGAGCTGAGAGTCGCTGTCCTGGCACTGGGGCTGCTGAGAGCCAGGCCCTGGCCCGTGTGACGCAGTCAGCGGTCACTGAGCACCTATTGTGTGCTGCACAGCAGGGAAGCCAAGCAGTGAGGATGCAGGAGGCACTTGGGGGTGGACAGGCTCATAACTGTGGAGGAGCTGCGAGCAGGGCCCTGGGCTTGTTGCTCACACGGGGCCCCGTCAGCTGACCAACAAGCTTCCACTCAGTTTCTCCCTTTCTGGCAAAGCTCGTGCTTAGTCCCCAGGGCTGGTCACCCCCGTGTCCTCACCCCGGTTGGGCTCTGTGCCACGTAGCAGGCACCCATCCATCACCACCTCATGGTGGCTTCACATGCAGGAAGCTGGCCTTCCAGCTGAAGCGGCCTTGCTGTAACGTGGAACTTCCGTAGCTACCAGAGGGGCACCTGAGCCAGAATCAGAGCCCCGGTGGCCTGTGCAGTAGGGAAGTCTGTTTTCTGTTTCACAGATCTTGGGCCATGGCCCAGAATGGTGCCATTAATTTCTTCTGCCAGAGTTTCAGCAGAGGGAGGCCTGGGGCCTATGGCAGGAGCCGAGTGCCCAGGCAGCTCAGGGAGCTTTTCATCTCCTTCCAGACTCTGGCCTCAGGGCTCCTTTCCCTGCAGTTACTAGATTCCAGGTGCCTATGCCTTCTTCCCCGGGCTTCCTGCTTCCATCTCCAGCAGGGGAGCCAGTCCTCAGCACTCTGTGCGCCACCCATGCAAGCTGGGCTGACTGCCAGGACCTCTGGCTGCAGAGGTCTTCACCAAGCATCCACTGGGGAGTTCTAAACATCCTGAGGCATGCTAATCGCTCTTCTGGAGCCCAGCAGGGACAGAAGCCATGTCAGGGTTTCTCCCCAGGGGTTCAAGCCCATCTCACATCTCTCTCCAGCCCCTGTGGCCTCCCCCACTGTGGAATAATGGAGGAGCACAGATACCATTAGAGGACAGCACTGCTTGTGCTATTTGGCCATGTTCTGAGCACGGACTGAGTACAGAATGACCAGGCTATCTCAGAGAACCTTCCTGAGCAAGGGGATGCATGACCTTTCTCATGAGAACCTTGGGGGCACTGGTATGGGTGGAGTATTACGTGGGGGGAGGTGAGCAGACAGGTGCCAGCCCCTCTTACTTACCTAATTGTTTTTCTTTTCCTTTCAGACTGGAGGCCAGCACTGAACCTTGCTACCCTAGACTGTGCCGATGAGACCAACAATGCAGTCTGCAGGGACTTCAACATCCCTGGCTTCCCAACCGTGAGGGTACGTGAAAGGGAGAGGAGAGCAGGTTGGGGCTGGCAGGTGTGGTGTTGCCAGTTGCCCCATGCTTCCCTGGCATCGGAGCTCCATGGGGTCCTCTGATGTTTCTGGGCTTGATCTGCTTAAATCACAGCCCCTGGAGCACTGCCCCTGTGTTTGATGAGACACCTGTTGTAGAGGCAGAAGGAGGGTGTGCATTGGGAGGTTCATTTGGCCTGGCATGTTCTGCCCTTTATAAGGGAAGGGACTGTGGCAGGGGAGGGTAGTTGTGATGGGCTGATTTGAGCTGTGAGGTGGCTGTCACTTGGGCTCATGAGAACCCCAACTCCTAAGGGCCTCTTTCCAATTCCTCTCCCTCCTGACCTCCCACCTGTAGAGGTCTCTAACCCTATAAAACCCACTTCAGGCTCTGAGCCACCCGTGGTCAGGATCAGATTCAGGGGGGCCTGATGATCTTCCAGAAAATACCAGCAGGCTTCATCCTCATCAGGCAAGTGCCTTGAGACCAAGTAGCTCAGAAGTGACCTGTCAGGGTAGCCTCACCCCATGGTCAAATGCCGATGCCTCGGGCAGCAGGGATCCCCATCGCGGGAGTCATCACACCCAGCACATGAAGGCTCCATCACCCCAGCTCTCCAGTGAGGCCTTGCCTGACACCCTGCCCACTGTGGGGCATCAACAGCTTAATTAACATCTGAACAACTTCCAAGACTCTCAAGTAGGAGGCCCTGGAAAGCCCAGAGTAACAGGGCCGTGCAGTTATACTTAGTGCCCTCCCCAGGGCTCAAACCCAGCTGTAATCCAATTAGCTTGCTTCCAAATTAAAGAATCAGAATCTCTCTCCTTACCTCCAGGTACAATTAGCCTCCTTCTACCAGAATGACATCTAGAAAAGCATTTCCTCTGTAACCACGAAGAACGATCAGGAAAGGCCTCTGAAAGCTAAAATGCCAAGCGCTGTCCCCTGAACAAGATATCTGAGTTCAGGGGCCTCAGGTTCCATGCAGAACCACAAGCCATATCTCAGCCTAATTACTCCAAGAGAATTTTTCTGGAAAGCAAGGCTCTACACTCCAGCAAGAATGCCCCGCTCGAACTCCATGTGACCTTTCTGTTCCTCACACCCAGTGAAATCCTGCTGGGTTCAAGGTTCCCACAGCCCCAGAGAGCTCCCTCCTACATTCTTGTTGCCACGTGGGTCAGGCCCAGACCCCAAGTTTAGCTGAGACCAGACTGGTCCAGGGAATAGCTCCTGCTATATCATTTAAAGGTGGCAGTAGTGGGATTGCTTATCAGTCATTCCTTTCAAGTAAAAGACATCCCCGGCAGGGCCATTGTTTTATCCACATCCCGAAACATGTAACTGAAAATATTTAAAATTACTATCCAGGGGAAGACAGGGATCTCTGTTGCTTTTATGAGCCAGGGTGAGTAGCCCTGTGTGGGAAGTTGTGGGAAGACTGGCGTGCCTGGAAGAGCCAGTGATGACTGGCCATGGGGTTTCAGCCCCTGGGAACGGGATTGGCATTGGTGCCAGGTCAAGGTCAGGACATCCTGGGGATGGGGATGGTGGCGGTGGGTTCAGTGGGACCTGGCACCCGAGGTTTTGTATTTCTTCCTGGGAGTGGCCGGGGCTTGGTTGTTATGAGGGAGGTGGCTCAGGCAGTCCGGAGGTCCCGAAGCTCCCAGTGCCTACCCAAGTCACGCAGCACACGCAGCCTGAATGCCTCAAGTGATTAATCATCTCCTGCACCGCCCAGCTGGCTGTGGGAGGGGAGCTGGGAGGGCCCCCAAGCTGGTCGTCTTGACCTTCCCCAGCCTCCACACTGACTGGGCCCGGCAGTTTAGTTTCAGCAAGGAGAGGCCCTCAGTGAGCTGTCCTCAGGACTCTAGCCCAGGGGGCAAGTAGTCCTAGCTCCCACTGGGTCTCTGCTCTAATGGCCAACACAACTGGCTTTCAAACATTTTTACTATGACTCGTGGTACAATATATTCATTTTACAGTGAGATCCAGAAGTTGGTTTGTATGTGATCACTAAAACAAAAGTGTCCTCAAACAATATTTATTCTTCCTAAATGCAGTACATGCTGCTATTTTCTGTTCCATATATTTTTAAGAACTATTTCTCTTCCCACTTATTTATTTTTTAAAATACTAGCTGTTACCTCTAAATTGTTACAGCTTACTACTACTACTACTATTCTTTTTTTTTTAAGATTTATTTATTTATTCATGAGAGAGACAGAGGCAGAGACACAGGCAGAGGGAGAAACAGGCTCCTCGCAGGGAGCCCGATATGGGACTCGATCCCAGATCCTGGGATCACGACCTGAGCCGAAGGCAGGTGCTCAACCGCTGAGCCACCCAGGCGTCCCAATTATTACTGTTCTTTTAACTATTCTTGAATTTGCTGTAGTTGCTTCGAACGTTTGGGAAATGCTGCTCAAGGAGATTGCAGAGCTCCAGAGAGTCTGGTGTGCCTGTAGGCATCACACCTGGATTCCCTGAGAGCCATGCAGACCCTGGAGGTTGGCCTGGCTGCTGGTAGGCTGCAGTGATAGCCCTGTTGCCCTGTCTGCTGCCCCCCCCCCCCCCCCAGGGCTGGACCTGTCCTCACTCCTACCTGTAAAGGCTATGGGAAGTCTAAGATCAGGACACATGGTGAGCAGGGGAAGAGAGAGTGTTGCTGATATGATGGAGAAAGACCCACACATGAGTCTGGGCCACCCCCAGTTACATGTATCATTGTCCCTTTCCTCTGCCTCCTGCCCCTTGTCAACCATTAGCAAGCAGTCAGCTTCCACTAGTTCAGCCTGTTTAGCAAACACCCGGCCCTGCAGGGCCAGCTGGCTGTATCAGGTGCCCATCAGGGAGCTGGAGCCCAGCTGGAAGGAAACAAAGGTGTCGGGGAGGGAGAGACTACTCCGCAACAGTTCTGGCTGGAGCTTGGGAACCTAGACACTGGACCAAGGAGAGAGAGGCTTTGCCATGGGCCACAGGAGTGCCCTCAGGGAGGTGATCCATCAGGACCCCTGTAGCCAACGGCCCAGCTGGGATCAGGATTACAGAGAGCATCAGCAGTGACAAGGACACAAGTCTCCCATTGGCAAGATTCTGAGGTAATTGACGTGGGTTCAAATCCTGGTTCCAGTGCTTACTGTATATACTGTGTGTGACTCAGAAAGTTGTTTGACAGTTCCTCAGCAACAGGCCTTAGTTTTCTTTGTAAAATATGGCATGATAATATCTATTCCTAATAGGACTGTTGCCAAACGTGAAGTGAGATCTAACACATGAGTGCCAGGACACTGTGTGGTATTACTTGGAGTTCAGTTCATGTTACTTGGCTTCCTTCCCATTGTCCTACATCGTCCCTCAGTCACACTAGCTCCTCCATGGGCACTGCATTTAGGCAGTCCGTCTGTGAGCAGCTGTTGAGCGAGTGTTTGCTGGGGCCTGCCCGTGCTTGCCATTGTTGGGGGGCACATGGGGCTTAGCAGCTGGCTGGCAGGCAGTGAATGATCTGTATGCCATGGGTGCCAGCGGAGCTCACCTGGGCTACAGAACCCTTTCCCTGACCTATCAGAGAAACTTGGCGGAAGAAGACTTCCACTTGGTGTTGAAGGACACCTGGGTTTGCCTAGGAGAGGAGGAATGCGGGCAGAGGAGGAGGTAAGAGCAGAGGCCCTGTGTGGGCAGAACTGTGTGACATGTTGAGAAGACTGGTCTGACTAGAACAGAGGCTCCAGTGCAGGGCTGAGGCAGGGCAGTGGGGCCTAGTAATGGCAGGTCCCCGAATTCAGGGCTGAGAGTGTGGAGGTTCAGAGGCTAGACTATTACTTTATGTGGCTCTTGCTAGAGGGTGAGATGTCAGGGAGGGTACTCCTGCCTCTCTCTGGAAGAAGAATATGCACCCCCCACCCCACCCCCGCCGCTGTCAGTAGCTGCCTCCTCTCCTCTTGCCTCCGCCACAATCAATTCCAGCACAGCAATGGTTCGGTTTGTGGATCCTCCTGGACTCACCATAAGCTGTTTGGAGACTGCCTCATTTTCCTTGAAACTTGTTTTAAAAGCTTGGATTCAGCGTCATTGATGGTCACTCCTGGAAAGCATGCTTTCCATTCAGCCTCATTTGACCCCTAGAAAGGCAGTTGCTCCTTGATGTTGGTGTTGCTTCTTACTGGATTGGTAGAGACCCATCTCCTGCCCCTGGGGAGACATGAAGGTCTTCCAGGAACACCAAAGTTGGGGAGAGCAGAAGCTCCTGTGTGAAGTGATGGAAGGAAAGGGACTGGGTGCTGACCACTCCTGGAAAAAAGAAACTCACCGCTGACATCTTAATTGCCTGTTGCCAAGGAGTTGTGGTGGTATTCCCTGGGGAGAGCACACGCCTCCAACAGCTGACTTAAGAAGGATGCATTTTAATAGGAGGACAAAAATGTGCCCTGACTAGATTTTAATATGGTTTTCACATGAGCATCTAAGATGATCAAAGGGCAGAGATTCTCTGTTCAACTGAACAGATGTCTTCTGAGTACTTCTATGTCTTAGACACTGTGGGGCTTACAGAGATGCCAAAGTGTGGTCCTGTCCTCAAGAAAGTTCAGGGTTCAGGCCCATCAAAGCTGAGGGGTAGGGAAGAGGAGCAGTGGAAGGTAAATTTCAGAATTTGGGTCAGATCCTGGAAGGCCTTGAACGTAATAAGTTTAGATATTATTCATTGGTAATAGGCAGTCATGAAAGAGATTTGAGGAGGAGTGACATGATCAGACCAGAACTGTGCTACTAAGCCAAGTGACAATGAGGAACATAGTTGGGGAATGAAAAGATTGAGCGGATTAAAATTTCTGAGCTCACAAAGGGACAAGTAGGGGTGGTTGCATGAGTCCAGGAAATCGGTGGTAAGCCCTGGTCTGGACAAGGCAGCTGGCCCAGAGCACTGTTGAAGAATCACAAAGGTCAAACTCACAGAACTTGTCCTCTGACTGGCTGGTGGGGATCAGGGGAAGAGAAGATGCTGGCCTGGTTAACAAGGGGAGGACATGGGGTGAGACAAGGAGCACGGATGGAGAAACAGGTTGGGGGAGGGGTGACCAGGTCTTGGAGAGTAGAGGTGGGACAGGCACCAGGAGGAAACAGAAGTCTAGGAAAGGTGAGGACTTGAGACGAGGGTTCAGATTGCGGATCACAAATCATTTAGACCAAGTACATGATGTTGGCAAGGAAGACCAACAGTACGCTTGTTTGTTCACTCATTCACTTTCCCCTTCATTCAAAAGCATGAATTGACCCCCCCCACCACCACCCACCCCCTGCCCCGTTTGTAACAATGCCTCTCAGGGCTTTTTAAACAGAAGAATGTCAAGAGCTGATACATGGCAGGAGGAGAGACTGGGAGCAAGAGATCGTGGGGGCAGCAGACACAAGAGAGGAGCCAGAGGAGAGGCTAGGACAAGGGCGAGGGGAAGGCCGTGGAGGTGGCCAAGAAGGCCTGGTCAGTGTCAGGCAAACCGAGGGAGGTGGCAACATGAAGGCCAAGAAAGAGTGTCAGGAATATGGTGCAAAAATGACAGCCCCTGGTTGGCAGTGCTAATGTCAGACACTGCAGAAAAAGCAGGGAGGGGCTGGGGAGGCCATTGGATTGGCCAGAGGGGGTCAGCTGAGCTGGAGGTGTGCGAGGGGGGGGGATGCCATGAGACACGGCCAGCTGCTCGTGGCTGTGAAGAGGGGTGGTCGGAGGGGGAGAGCAGACACTACTTTGGGAAATTTGGCAGCACAGGGAAACAGGACATGAGCTGGAGGAGGAAGGAAGGCCTCTCTCTATTCCCATCTGCCGTCACTTCCTGTACTTTTTTTTTTTAAGAAATTAGATTAGGAGGATTGGAGTCTATTTGTAGGCATAGGGAAGTTGCTGACAGAAAAGGAGAAAGATTAAGTGATAGGAAAAAGTTCCTAAGAGCATGAAGTGTGGGAGCCAGAGCTCCAGTGGTGTCATTGCTCTGGAAGGTAGATGCAAGGCTTCTGAGGACAGAAGGGAAGGCTGTGTGGCAGCCCATGGGTACACAGAGGGACACGGGAGGCCTTCCCGTAGCTCTACACTCCACAGGCTTTGTCTTTGCATTCCCCTGGGTCTGTCTTGCTGGGGGCTGGGGAGGCTGCCTTCCAGCCTTCAGTAAGGCACCTGTTCAGGTCTGGGGGAGCTGGTGGTGGCTGAAGAAAAGTGCTGCTTTGCATACCTGAAAATAACAACTGTGGCAGTGTCGGTCCATAAAAGCCTTCACATACTTTCTCTACCTGATCTCATCACAATTCAGGAAATTTGTGAGCATTTTTACAAGTGTTAGGATAACGTATAATTTCACACAAAATCTGTTCAGTCACCACAAAGAAGCTTATTATAAATACATGTGGCAGAGATCAGTGGATGGTTTCCACCCAGAATAAAAGTTATATTGATGGTCTAAAAAAGAGAGAGAATAAAGCAGTTAGCAGGAGTTAGGAGCCAGGTAAGGTCAGAGGGAATGGGAGAAGGTTGCAGGTGGGAAGAGATGGGTGGCTTCTGTCCATCTCTGTGGAAGGGGTGGGCAGGTGGCCCCTCAATTTTCATTTTCTGCCTACAAATGACTGGAGTAAACACATACTAGCTGATCAGTGTTTCCTAGTGTTTAAAAGGTGGAACAAGGGAAGGGGATGATGATAATCCTGCAGTTAACATTTATTGATCCCTTGCTGTATGCACCAGACACAAGCACTTTAGGTGTATTGTCTTTGAACCCTCACAGCAATTCTTCAAGGTGGATAGTGTCATCCTCATCTTAAAGATGAGAAGGTACAGAGGGCTTAATGGATTGTCCAAGGTCACACAGCAGGAGTGTAGCAGAGCAAGGTCTTGAACCCAGGTCCGGTAGACCCAGGGGCCTGCACTCAACCACGAGCTTGGAATAAGGCCAGATGGCCATGCTGTTGCAGGCAGAGGTCCAAAGAAGCTACAGGTGGCCCCAGAGGACCTCAGGAAGAGGCCTCTTCCCGGCCAGCAGGCTCTCTGCCAGACAATTACATGGCTGTCGGTCTGTCAGGACACCTAAACTTTATTCCCTCTTGAGCTCAAGAGAGCCCAGGCCAGAGCTCTGGCAGCAGGCTTGCTACTTAGGCAGAAGCCCAGATTCTGATGAGTAGTCCTTTGTTCTCTCTGTCCTCCTACCCAAGGAGGTGACAGACTGAGCCCGGAGTGTCACGTACATGGGGAAAGAAGACAAAGTGGTGAGTTAAGTTGACCTGTCTGTAACAAGACTTGTTCCTTTGGGGGCTCAGGCCCACCCTTGGACAGGACTTGACCTGGAGACTCCTCCCTTCACGGGGGTTCTGCTGTGCCAGGCTGGGGGTTCTCAGTGGACAGATACCAGCCTCCAAGGACAGATTGCCTCAGAGGGCAGCTGACATTTTCTGGGGGAAATATGAGGCGAATTTGTTTTATCAGTTGGGTCAGCCTCATCTACTCATTCATGCAATGAATATCTTCTGGGCACTGTGTGGTAGGTGCTGGTGCTTGAGAGAGACCGCCCAGCACTAGTACAGTGTGTAAGCACCGTCTGCACTTCCCTGGGTGTGTCAGAGCCACGGGGTTGGGGATTGGATGCAGAGACTATGGGGACAGGAATCAGCATTCAGCTCCAGGAGCAGATACCTCCTTATTCTCCTTTTACACACGAGGAAACTGAGGCACATAAAAGTTAGTTAATTTGCCCAGTCAGCCCCTTGAGGAAGCAGCCGGGTCTTAGACATGGTCTTTGGCACCGGCGTTGTGGTCTTAGCTCCATGTGTTACTGACTTTTACCTGTGTGTTTGCTTCCAGTTCTTTAAGGCCTTTTCCAAGAATGGCTCAGGAACAACATTGCCAGGTGAGTGTCCTGGTTCCAGTTACCAGTATCTTCCTCTTTTTCTTTCCTTTTGATTTCCACTGAGGTGAGGAGAGCCCAGCAAGGTCTACAGGGTAAGGAGTTTCCCAAGTGAAAGCAGAGTCTGTGTTTTCCTGGGACCTTCCCAGCCAGCCTGGAAGATGCCTTCTGTTTTGGTCCATTCGGAGTCCTGGGAAGAGGGGAGGGTCACCAGGTACCCGGGCTAATGCTTCATGGGGTTGGCATCCAGAGGGACAGACCAGACAGCCTTCGAGGGCCTGAGGGCCATCCCCCCAGGCCTAAGGGACTCTTTCCTGCCCTCTGAGGGATGGGGTTCCTTGTGTAACTTAGGGGCACAGAAGACCCCAACCCCACTGCTCTGATCTCTCAGAACTAGCCTGTGCCCCGGGCCCTTTGTTTCAGTGAAGCTGACAAGGGCAGTGGGATTACTCTCCTTCCCTCCTCATGTTCACACCCCCCCATGTCCATCTTCATCCAGTAGCTGGTGCTGATGTGGAGACGCTGCGGAAGAGGCTCATCGATGCCTTGGAGTCCCATAGTGACACTTGGCCCCCCGCCTGTCCCCCACTGGAGCCTGCCAGGTACTCTGGGCTGGAGCAGACTTGTGCAGTGTGGCCCGGGATTACAGGCCTGGCAGCGAGAGGGTAGTAGGGACAACTGCATAGGGAAGATGAAGGCCTTTGTCTTTGGAGCAGACACCTCTGTGGCCTCGAGTCCAGAGTCACTCTGGAGCAGCTGGTGGAAGACTCCCTGTTGCTGGAGGTCCTCCCTGAGGAGCCCTGGCTTCATGGGGCTGACAGGTGCAAGGGCCTGTCCTGCCAGGTAGGAAGGAAGAGATGGGCAGGGGTTTCTCCAGGTCATACCTGCCTCTGCTTTTCACATCCTGTCCTCAGGAACTTTTTGGGGGCACAGCAGACTTCACATGATTTCACCCAGACGGGGCCCTGAGAGAGTGGACACGGGGAGGAAGGAGGGAGGCTCAGAGAAGGGAGCCCTGTCTGTAAAAGGAAGTTGTTATCTTTCTGAGCAGTGACTGTGATTAGGGGGAGGGGACATGTGACTGTTGTGCTGCAGAGCATCAGGCACAGTGGCTGGTGGCTGGTATCTGCCTGCCAGGCAGGCTTCCAGGATTGCCTCTTCTAGGGGAGAAAGGGGCAGGCTGTCTCGCTATGGCTCTCCCATGAAGAATACATTGAGAACACTGGGTCTCGCCCTTCCAGATGAGAAATCAGGACAGGCTAGAGTCCACCTCAGGGATTCCTGCCAAGAAGGAACAAATCCAAGTACCAGCAGGCACTTCTGGAGGGAGCTCAGCTTCAGAGCACAGTGAAGATTCCAGGGCCTGAGGAAGCCTCATGAGGCAGGCCCTGGTGCTCCAGGTCCTCCCACACTGACTTAATGATGTTCTCGAAAGTCATAGCCCTGTGGAGAGACTGTGCTTCTAAGCATCAGTTGGGGTTGAATCCAACCCATGAGGACTTTTTAATCAGCTTCTCCAAATGTCCATCCTCCTGGAGGGTCCCACAGAAACCCAGGGCCCAGCATTCACCTGGGTATGGTTTGGGGCTACACAACGAGATCCATTCTCTCCAGGAAACATTCACACCAGTCTGCTCCTTACTTAACATTTCTTGATGACCATGTCCGTGTCTTTCTTACACACATCCCCCAGGGTGTCAACCTCCCTCAAGGTGACCCTACTAAAGAGCTTTACAGAGGAGGCAGTGATGTGTGATGAAGTGTGAGCTGCCTCTTCCAGAAGACTGAGTGGGCATGCATGGGGTGAGGGGTGTAGGCCACCATGTAGCCTTGCTTATCTGTCAGCTGAGAGGAGGTCTGGTGAAGTGGCCTGAGAGGCTGTTGGCATCCACAGCACCTCTTTCCATCCCCCCCTCGGGGTACACTCTGGCCCCTGCCTCTGGTATATCCTTTTGGACTGCCACTGGACTGGGCTGGGCTCCAGCATTGGCCCTGTGCTCTGTGTTCTCTCTGGACGTGATCACACCACATCATGGGATCCAGGGGAGGGAAATAGTCCATCAGGTTGGGGATAAAAAGAAGTTGCAGTCTCCCAGTGCCTTCTTACTGGCTGGTCTCTTAAGCATGTGTTGACGATGTTCTGGTTTTAATTGGAATAAGGAAACAAGCCATTCTTGTGCAATTACTTTCTGTCAAAATTTTGAGATCCCAGAATAGCTTATAGCTTCATTTTCTGATTTGAGGCAATAAGACTTGCCTTTTTATCAATTTCCACCTTTGTTCTGGGCCTCAGTTTCTACATCTTAAGATAAGGAGGTTGGGTTAGACAGCTTCTGAGGTCTCCACACAGGACTTTGATTCTTTAATTCTTTAATTCCCTTTTTATGCCAGTTCCGGGAGAGAAAAAAGCAAACCTCCCAGTTAGTAGTGACTTGCTACTACCTTACCCAGAACATAGAGACCTCTGGTCTCAAAGCACCCCTCCCCCGTCCTCAGTCGCCCCTGCCCCCACCCCACCTCCCCCAGATGGCTCATACTCACTCGAGATTCTTACCGTGAACAAGCAAATCAGCAAGGTGGGCCAAATGGAGAACCAGCTGAGGTGGTGGAGGCCGCATCCCTTGCACCTCCCTGCTCCCCGGAGGGCTGGCAGTGGGAGACTTCCAAGGAGCCTCGTGTGGACACAGGAGGGATTTGTGTGGCTGTCCCTGCATGGCTGCCAGCCACTCCTGGTGTCCCCTGCAGTTCTGCTTTATCCCCACCGGCTGTGGAGGGTCACTGCCGGCCTGGTCTCTTGCAGGCTGGAAGAGATTGATGGATTCTTTGCAAGAAACGACGAGGAGTACCTGGCCCTGATCTTTGAAAAGGAAGGCTCCTATCTGGGTAGAGAGGTGAGCTGCCCACAGGGTCCTGGCACCTCGGGGGTGGCCATCGGGAGGGAGAGAGCCCAATGAGTACAGGGACAGCGCTGTCCAGGCGGACTCTAGGGCCTGGGTCATGTGTGCTTCTTGGCCCAGCACTGGCCTGACCCCTGCTGGGGGACATGGGAAGTGCGGGAGCTGGACCTTTCTCCTCATTGAAACCACCCATGTGACACCTGCGTTCATTGAGCACCAGACTACAGTGCTGGCACACGCGGTCGTTAATCCCCAAAATTAAGGCTGATAATCAGGTGGCACGTTGAAGATCCCACGGCCAGTGAATTGGTGGAGCAGGGCTTTGAACCAGGTCTGTGAGCCCTGCAAGCCCAGGCTGTTTCCACACTGCCCTACCCCTGCAGAATTGGAGTGGAAAGCTGGGGCACAGGGAGGGCCAGCAGAGCTCGTGCAGTGCCTCAAAACCAAGTGAGGTCCCAACCTGTGAAGCAGTGAATATCCGCTCTGTGATGATGCCTGTGATCAAGTTACCCAGCTTCCCCAATCCCCACTGCCCTGTCTGTAAAGCAGTGATAATCACCTCTCCTTCGAAGATTGCTGGCACAAATGGGGCTGTTTAGGTAAAAGGCCTGGATTGGTAGTAGCTGGCACAGAGTAGGTGCTTTTTTTTATTTTTTGAAAAATTTTTTTATGATAGAGAGAAAGAGAGAGAGGCAGAGACACAGGCAAAGGGAGAAGCAGGCTCCATGCACCGGGAGCCCGACATGGGATTCGATCCGGGGTCTCTAGGATCACGCCCTGGGCCAAAGGCAGGCGCCAAACCGCTGTGCCACCCAGGGATCCCGAGTAGGTGCTTTTTAAAGATCCATTTCCCTGGCCTCATGCGGAGAGCTCTCCATTCTGCTGCTGGCTTGCAGACTTCTCTATATCCTTTGTGGGCTTTTCCCAGGTGCTGAGCACAGATGGGCCAGGGTATGGGTGAGGTTGCAAGGCAATGTAGGGACACAGAAGAGGCATGAGAGTGGAGAGGAAATTAAACACCACTGTTGGCTCTGAGGGGCTTTCGTCCTGGGGCTCATCAAGCACAGCCAGAGAGTTCTGGGCTGTCTCTAAGCCTCTGAGTCCCAAGAGGGGAAACACAAGAAGGAGATGGGGAGGGGCACAGAGCTTTGCTGAAGGATTGCCTGACCCCTCTGGGGTCCCAGTCCAGGCCTGGGGTCATTCCTGTCATGAGGAATGAGTAATACATGTTCACTGGAATCAGATCCTCTTCCCACTGTCCTCCTAGTCCTCTGAGAAGCCAGAGGCAAGGACCTTGTGTCCATGCAAAGGTGCTCAGGGGTGGTGAGTTTGAGAAGCAGGAGGGGATGGTGGCCAAGAGCCCAGGATCTGGAGCCAGGCTGAATTGGGATTTACTGCCCAATTCCAGTGCTTGCTGACTGTGTCACCTGAACAATTGCTTTCACTCCTCAGCCTCAGTGTTTTCATTTGCAATAGGCATTTTAGTTTTTTAATGAACATTTGGTCACTGTTACACGTTTTATAAAATTAACCCCTTCAGACCTCTTAACAGCCCTCTGAGGTTGGTATGTTTGTTATGATTCCAATTTTGTAAGTGAGGAAACTGAGTCACAGGGAGGTTTAGGCCCATGGGGCCAGAATACAAACCCAGGCAGCCATAGTATATTGTGCCTGCTTCATTTTCTGATTTGAGGCAATAATAGTCCATCAGGTTGGGGATAAAAAGAAGATGCAGTCTCCTAGTGCCTTCTTACTGGTTGGTCTCTTAAGCATGTGTTGACGATGTTCTGGTTTTAATTGGAATAAGGAAACAAGCCATTCTTGTGCAATTACTTTCTGTCAAAATTTTGAGATCCCAGAACAGCTTATAGCTTCATTTTCTGATTTGAGGCAATAATAAGACTTGCCTTTTTTATCAATTTCCACCTTTGTTCTGGGCCTCAGTTTCTACATCTTAAGATGAGGAGGTTGGGTTAGACAGCTTCTGAGGTCTCCACACAGGACTTTGATTCTTTAATTCCCTTTTTATGCCAGTTCCGGGAGAGAAAAAAGCAAACCTCCCAGTTAGTAGTGACTACTACTACCTTACCCAGAACATAGAGACCTCTTGGTCTCCTAATAAGAGTTCCTGTTTCATAGCATTATTTTCGAGATTAAATGAAGCAGTATATGAACAGCACAGTGTGGTGTGCACAGTTCCAAGGCCCCTTGTCCTGGGCAGCGTGTGACTCTTGTCCCCTGGGGGGAAGATGTGGCTGGTGGCATGGACCAGCACACTGGTCCACTCTCTGAAAGGCTTAGAGTCTGTATGGAGCACAGCTGCCACCCAGGTGCCTGCCCACAGCTCCCTCTGCCCAGGGGCTGCCCCTCCCTGCCCCACCTCCGACAAGTCTGTCTGTCTCTGCAGGTGGCTCTGGACTTGTCCCAGCACCAAGGCATAGCAGTGCGCAGGGTCCTGAACACGGAGGGTGATGTGGTGAGCAAGTTTGGGGTCACCGACTTCCCATCTTGCTACTTGCTGTTTCGGAATGGCTCTACCTCCCGGGTCCACGTGTGAGTGCAGCGCCTCTCTGACCCCTCCCTCCTCTCCGCATCCCCTGCTGTGGCCCATCCTGTCTGCCCACCTAGAGAAGACTGCTGGCCTCTTGCAGGGGCTGACGGGTTCTTTTCTCCTGCAGTTCTTCTGAGGAGCCCCTGTGCAGGAGAAGCAGCTGCCGGCCTTTGTGGGTGGGCAGTGCGGGGAACACAGCCCCTGGGCCCCAGCTCAGGACTCCTGCCGTAGGAGTCCTGCTGCCCCCACCACCACGGCTTCTGCACCGTGGCCACCTCAGCGCCGGCCCTACTCCCCATTCTCCTCCGTTCACAGACTGCTTGGCAGGCTGCAGGCCTGGCAAGCGCTGTTTTGCCTGAACCTCCCTCCCTTTGGTTTTCTAATTGCAGAAAAGTTCATTAGGAGCTAGACAATAGCCAGTTCCAAAATGCCAAGGGAAAACAATCAGGCCAGCCACAGTCCCTCTGTCAGGCTCCTGCTGCTGAATGGCCCGGTAAATGGCGCCAGATGGTGCCGTGGTGCCCTCTCTGGGCAGATGATTGATGTAGCCTGGCGCCTGCAGGCAGGAGCTCGAGGGCCAAGGAGATCAAGACTTGCCTGAGGTGCCCAATGAGCTGCTCTGCAGGGCCATTAGTGCCCTCCTGGCCTGAGGCCGGGCAGGGCGGCCACGTGCCCTTGCCAGCCCCAAGCACCAAGGAGCCCTGGGCCAGCTTCCTCGGAGGATTCTGCTGGGGGAAGGAAGCCTGACGGCTGCAGGGGGAACAAGGAGGGACAGAAAGTGCCAGGCCTGGTGGGGAGAGGAGGCATTGTTTCTTCACTTGGAGCTGGTGGAGGGGAAAATTGTTTGTGACGATGCTGCTTCTGAGCCATCTGCTCATCGATAAACGTCGGGCCAGGACAGTGGAGTGGAAAGCAGTGCTCCCCGATGCCAGCTCCCCCGGGGTGTCCCGTCACACTGCTGTTGGTCCTCACAGCCTCCCTCCAGGCGGCTGTGACCAGGAGGTGGCACCCGCCCCTGAGGACTATCCAGAGAGAGAAAGCAGAAGTATCCCACAGGGATTTCAGAATTTCCTGTTGCTGTTGTTACCACCTGTTTTTTAAAAATCAGGTGTCCGACTCCCTTGACTTCCCATGGGGAGTCATGTCGCCTTTGGTACCTCAGAGCAAGCTCAAGAGCCAGCAGCTTTCTTCCGTCCCTGACGAAGGTAGTAAGACCCGGCCATCCTGTCCATGGGCAGAAGCAGCTCCATCCCACAGCCTCTCCAGGGCAGGCCGAGGAATTCTCAGTCCGGCAGCTTTTCTAGATGGGACTCTGACATCAGACTGGTGTCAGAGAGGCTTTCCACAGCGAGAGTGGGGGGGTAAAAAGGCTAAAGTGAGGCAAGGGTGCCTTGATTTGACCCCACTGAGGATAAGACCGAATCAGAATCAAATATTTCTTAATGAACATTCCCGTCAAGGGGTGCCTGAATGGCACAGTGGGTGAAGCCTCTGACTCTTGATTTTGGTTCAGGTCATGATCTCAGACACATGAGATCAAGCTCCGTGTCAGGCTCCACACTCAGCACAGAGTCTGCTTAAGATTCTCTCTCCCTCTGCCTCTCCTGCTTGTGCTTGCGCTCATGTGCTCTCTCTCTAAAATAGATAAATCTTTAAAAAACAAAAACAAAAATAAAATAAACACTTCTGTCAAGTGAGCCACCTGCCTCCTCCTGATGTGAGTCCATCCTGGGATTTGTTTCTCCATACTCACTGCCTCTCCTCTGTGGTTTCTTCCCTCCCAGGCTTCAGGAATCCAGGTCCTTTTACACCGCTTACCTGAAGAAGTTTTCCAAGCTCACCCGGGAGGCTGTCCCAACCAAGGTTGTGCCAACCACCGCTCACACGATAGCTCCCACCGTGTGGAAAGTCGTGGATCGGTAAGGCCACGGCCACTTCCTTCCCTCCCCCCAGCCTTGCCTCTGATCACAGACCCCCTGCCTTCACACCACACTCTGTTCCCTGTCTTGAGCTTAGCACATGCCTTTCCAACCCCAGACCCCCTGAGGGCTGGCCTTGGCTTTTGGGCTCCCCTGGCTGCTGACCATACACAGAAGAGTCATAGTTGTGTGGGAGCAGCATAGTCAACCAGCGGCCAAACAGCATTTACTGGTCTCCTTCATGATGGAATAAATACTTTCCAATGCCCACAGTCCTTAAACTTAATGCTATTCAAGAATAAGTAGAGAGTCAGCTTAGAAGGATAGTCTGTGGCCTTCAAACCAGCTTCCCTCCACCTCCAAGCAACTGTCTCTTGAGCAAATATTTTGAGTACCTGCTACACACTAGGCACCGTAATACAGATATGTAGTCCCTTCCCACAAAGAGTTTACCATCCCTTCTAGGAAGGTACTGACCTCATTTGAATGCCTCTGATGCTGGGGAGCTCACTACCTTTTGAGGTAGACTGTATCTTTGTGCACAGATGTAACTATGAGGAAGCTGCTTTTCTCTCTAAGACTCCTTGGCTCTGCTTGGCAGTAGAATTCCTACTTGTGGGGCAGGAGATGGGTCTATAAACCTCTTGCACTGGCACCTGACAGTATACCAAGTAGAAATGGCTGCCCAGGGAGCTCAGAGCTGCATCAGGAGGGTGGCCTCCATGAGGAGACTCTACAAGTGAATTGGGGGAAAGCCATCTGATTTCCAGAGGATTTTGCATGCCAGCAGGTAGGACTTTAAGGGCAGAAAGCACCAATGGAGAGATTTTTTTAGTCAATCAGGTGAGAAGGAGAGACAGAGAGGTGGTCATTGTGGTCGTTCACATTAGGGTAATTAAAATCATTCAAATTATAACAGCTGACACTTACTGGCTTTATGTGCCAAACTCTGTGCTAGGCACCTTCCATACATTATCTCCGTTAGTCACGGGGCTACCTCTTTTTTTTTTTTTAATTTTTATTTACTTATGATAGTCACAGAGAGAGAGAGAGAGAGAGAGAGAGAGAGAGAGAGAGGCAGAGACACGGGCGGAGGGAGAAGCAGGCTCCATGCACCGGGAGCCCGATGTGGGATTCGATCCCGGGTCTCCACGGGGCTACCTCTTGAGGCAGACCACATGAATGGAGAGGGACTGAGACCCAGGACGCCACGGTGGGGCACAGAGAGGAGCCTTTGCCATGAGGGGGAAGCCCAGGTGGTCACAGTGCTCCCCCCACTCCAGACCTTGTTGACTTCCTACAACGTGAGGAGGTAAATGTGACAGGAGTCATCAGTTCATTTCACAGGGGAGTTGACTGAGGCCCAGAGAGGTAGATTGAGTTGCCTCCCAGAGCTGGCTCGCTGCAGAACAGGCCAGAACCCAGGCCTCAAGAGGCAGGGATAGAGAAGCAGCCAACACATGACAAGCCCTTGGCTTCAGAACCCCAAGCCCAGACCCCAAGTGAGCATGATGGGCACAGGGTGGAGCAGCCAGCGTGGAGCCTGCAGCCTTTCCTCTGGGGCTGGGATCAGCCAGAGAGGTTTGATATGGAGCTTTACCTGCTACCCAGGGTCTAGCAGCTGCAAGGACATCAGCCCCCACATAAAAACACATCCCACTTCCCCTCATCTGCCACCATGCCCTTGGTGGGCAGCCAAAGCCCCGGTCTTTCAGAGCAGGCCCAGGTTTTCCAGAGGCATGTTACTCTGTCTGTCGGGCGCACCTGTCTGTCTGTCCTTAGGGGTCTTGGTTCAGAACCGGGAACAAAACTCAACCTTCCACTAGCAGCCTGATTAAGCTGATTAAGGATTCATGGGAGGGACTGGCCCTGAGCCTGTGGAGTTTGTGCTGGGAGTTGCTGACAGGTTTACATTTCGGTTTCTATTCATTCTTTTTATCAACCTGCCATGAGCAATTTATTATTTACTTACTATCATACATGAGGAATTGAGGCTCAGAGAAGTTGAGTAATGTACTCAAGGTCACAGAGCTAGGTAGAGGCAGAGCCTAGTGCCAGCCTACAGGACTCTGCGACTATCAGCAGTGGCCCTCCTCTTCTCTCCCCTTTGCTCTGGGTGTTCGTCCTCAGCCCCTGCCCTGTGGTTAACACCCCTTTCTCTCTCTGCATCCTTCTGGGTCCTCCTCAGCTCCAAGATCTACATGGCTGACTTGGAATCTGCGCTGCACTACATCCTGCGGGTGGAAGTAGGCAAGTTCTCTGTTCTGGAGGGGCAGCGCCTCGTGGCCCTGAAAAAGTTCATGGCCGTGCTGGCCCAGGTGAGCAAGGCCCCAGTCTCCTTCGTCCACACAGCTCCACATCGGATCAGTATGCCTCCCTGCAGCAGGCCCTATGCCAGGCCAGAGGGGTCAGCCCGGCCTCTCCCTCAGGAGATCATGATCTGGCTGGACATCCAGACCCACAGCTCTCCAGGGCCCCTGTGGGCTGCTGCCCTGCAGTCTCAGTCATACCTTGCACCAGGCTCACACTGCCAGGGACATCCCTTCCCAGCCCTCCCTGTGCAGGTGGCTGGGCTGGGCAGGGCCAGATGCCCTGGGGATGGCCCGGCTGATTCAGTGACTGTGGCTCTGCCTGAGGCCTCTACCACAACATGAACCTGTGGCTCTGCCTGAGGCCTCCACCACAACCTGAACCTGCAGTGTGGCCTCCCACTTCCTGCCAGAGTCACTGGGAAGCAGGACCCATGGAGGTTACAGTAAAGGAAAGAAGCCTTTCCGAACCTCCTCTCTTCCCTCCCAGTCCCTGATCATGGTTTGACTAGGTCCTTGGCCCTAGCCATGCCTTCCTTATTCCTTTGTGGTTTCCTGCCAACTTGGCTACTCTATGAAGTGTGTAGCTCTTGCCTGTTGAGGACCTGCCGTGTGTCAGGCGTTTAATCCTCTTACCTTTGCTGCACAGTGACAGGCATTACCCCCTTTAAGAGGCCCAGGTTGTTGAGGTGACTTGCTTTATGCCTCCCAGGGAGGAGGTGCTGCGAGGATCTGAGCTGAGGTGCCCCTTTCTTTGCCATGCTACTTCCTCATCTTTGAAGGTGAGACGCAGGCCCCTTTCCTCTCTGCACCTGACTCCTCCCTCCCTGAATCCTTCTGTCTGGCTCCAGAGCCACTGCCAGTGCTGCCCTACTTAAAGCCCAAGGCTCTGGGCTGCTGAGGACTGCTGAGTCAGATGCGGGCTCTGGTCCCCTTCCGAGCCTGCCTGCTGACTCAGCCACCCTCAGCCCCTGGGTGCCAGGTCTGAGCCATCCTCTGTGGGGCAGGTCCACCGGCAGCTGGGGTACCTCTGGGGCTGATCTGGGCCTCCCACTCAGGAGCTGCCAGCCAGCCTGCTCCCTATTCCCCACCTCACCCGCAGCCCTGGCCTCCCTGCCCAGTGGGCTCAATCTTTGTGCCTGAGCGATGCTGTTATTGTCTGAGGCTGGAGCCTCTGTTCCCTCCCGCGGGTCCCTGCTCTCTCTCAAAAGCAGCTGGCGGGCCTGGCCACTGGGTGGCGCGCGGTCACCAGCGTTTCCTGCTCCTGGCAGAGGGTGGCTCCCTCTAAGTCCAGAGCCCTTAATTCATCCTTCCTCCTGACACCAGGGCCTGAGAAGGAGGAAGGGTCCAAGTCAGGATGACGGCGAAGGTCAGTGAGAAACGCTGACTTGAAGCTGTAAATTCATGTTGAGGGCCTGGAGGCCTGAGTGCGCTGACCAAGAGGGAGCATGTTAAAGACAAGATTCTTCCGGCTGCTTCTCCCTCGGGGCCTGTGTCCAGCCCTGGAGCTTTGAGGGGAATATGTAATGGCTTTCGCAGAGGCCTGGATCCATCGGCAGGCATTTCTATTCAGTGATCATTCTTTGCTCTTTTTCCTCCAGCAAGGTGTCTTGGTCCTCTTGACCTGTGCCTTGGTGGTTTTATCTGCCCTGCTTCCCTGGCATCCCTCTCTTCTCCTGCCGGCCCCCCCGACCCCCCGCCCCTGCCGCCCTGGGCGTGTGTGCACACACACGCCTGCACACATATCTGTCCTCCTCCCTGGGGTCCTTGTGGTTTTAAAGTGCTGATACTAATCAGATTTCAGTTGACTTATTGTCAGAGTAGCTTTTCATGTTCCTCGGAGACTCTTGGGAGTTACCATCAAGGTCTGGACTTGGCTATAAGCCCCCGGGCCGTCTTGTCCCCACCAGCAGTCCATGGAATACAGATGGAAGGCTGTTCACCAGCCTCGCCCAGCAGTCAGTCAGTTGGCAAGTCAGCTGGTCTTCAGAAGATGACACGCAGAGAGGACTGTGTGGCCCAAGTTCTCAGCAGCCTTGGGAAGCCACGCGGGTGCTCAGCCTTCTTCCCAGGGGCAGTGTGGGATCAAGAGTCAGCCTTGAGAGAGGGAGGCCCAAAGGGTCCAGCCTCACCCAGAGCCTCGGGCCTCTCCCCACGCCATCCTTCATGTTGCCAGGTGCCCCAGAGCAAAGGTAGTAGGAACCTGCATTTGTGTCTGAGGCAGAATGTTTTCCTGGTGGTTTTGGAGAGTTTCAGGGAACTGCCTCCCCCCACTTCTGTTTAGTCCCCTACCCTCTCCAGGACTGGGACTGCCGAGCACCTGGGGACTTGCTTTTCCCTCTCCAGCTTTCCCTTATGCCTCCCACAGCACTTCCCGGGCCAGCCCTTAGTCCAGAACTTCCTGCATTCCGTAAATGACTGGCTCAAGAGGCAACAGAGAAAGAAAATTCCCTACAGTTTCTTTAAAGCTGCCCTGGACAACAGGAAGGAGGTGAGTCTGGGGGAAACTGAACACCTTCTCCGAATCCTCAGTAACTGTGGGGGTGGGAGGGGTTCGCCCTGCAGCCTCTGTGCTCCTTCACGCCCTTGTATTCAGGAAGGAGTCCTCGATCTCTCTTGATCTCTCTCTCGGTCAGGTCCTTCCATCAATAGACTACTCACGGAGCTGTCTGCATGCCCATCTTGTGTAGCCTTCCCAGCGGTGGTGGGAGTAGCTCTGATCCCCATTTAGCACATGGGGAAGCTGAGGTTAAGAGAGGTTAAGTAACTTGTCTAAGATCATAGAGCCAATGGGTGGTTGGGCTGGGATTTAAGACCCGAGTGTGAAATTCCAGTTGTGAGCGAGTTTGTAGCAGCTTCTCTCCGTGCCTGCAGGCACATCGAGCTCCTCACATAGCTCCTCTGGCCCTCTCCAGGGACCCCTTTCTGGCTCCTGTGTGTGCCACTCTTTGCCAAAGTGGCCCACTGCAGCTGGCAGAAGCACACAACCTTACAGATGTGTAGGATGCCAAAGCTCAAAGGGACCTCAGAGGCCAAACCCCTCATTTTACAGATGGAGAGGTTGAGGCTAGAATCAGGATGCGACTTGGTTCGTGTCACAGCTTTTCAGATCTGCTGCTCCTTTGATGGGTGTAGCCAGTGAAAGGGAGATGCCACCTTCCAGGTGATAGAGAGAGGGACCTCATTTGTCTCAGGGCTATATGCTGACCTTCAAATCTCCTGAAAGCTTCTTTCCTCACCACCCATCCCATTCTTCTTCTTTTCCATATATGCACTCATGCAAGTACGTGTTCCTTAGGGCACTATGATTGCCAAGAAGGTGCACTGGGTTGGCTGCCAGGGGAGTGAGCCACATTTCCGGGGCTTTCCCTGTTCCTTGTGGATCCTCTTTCATTTCCTGACGGTGCAAGCAGCTCGGCACAATTTAGACCACTCACAAGAAACAGGTGAGTCCGAGGCCTGCCCGTGTCCCCCGCTACCCCCAGGCCTGTGCCCCAGCCCCACCCTGCCCTGCCCTCCACAGGCTCCCCACTGCCTGCCCAGATGTAGCAAATTCTGCATTTGCAGTTGGCCTCATGCACTCAGCATAGAACCAGAATGGGGAGGACCTGAAGAAGCCCCCCAGTCCTGCCTCCTGTCTCAGGGTGGTACCCCTTGCAGGCTCAGGGACACCTGAGTGTCTTTCTGGCTTTCCTGGAGCCACAAGCTTGCTTTGTTTATAGAACTTTGTGAAAAAATTGTGGTTCAACTTTTTATACTCCTATAAAGGAAATTATGTCTATTTCAATCCACGTGGCTGGTAGTGTGCACTTTGAACAATTCTATTGTTTCCCATGGAAAAGTCATTTTCTTTTTCTTTTCTTTTTTTTTAGAGAGTGACAGTGCACAAGCTTGGGAGGGAGGGGCAGAGAGGGAGAGAGAGAATCTTAAGCAGACTCCATGCCCAACACAGAACCCGACACGAGGCTCAATCTCACTACCCTGAGATTGTGACCTGAGCTGAAATCAAGAGTCGAACACTTAACCAAGCCTGAAAAATCATTTTTTAAGGGAAGCTGGGGAAACGTCCCTCCTGCCTTGCTCCCTCCTTAAACTGCGTGGTGGCCTGCCATCACCCATTCTGCCTCACAACCAGAGGGCAGGCCTCCAATCCAGTCCACATTTACTGAGGGTTCTCTCAGGCACTGGTTCAGCCTGGAGGATGTAAAGGTGGAAAAGAAAGAGTCCGTGCTCTCAGTCGGGCAGGTGAGCAGAGAGCTGTTCTGCAGTGTGCCAAGGCCGAGAACTGGCAGAGAAGGCATGCAGTGAGAGGGAGGAAGTGCTCCATGCTGCTAGGAGGGGCAAGAGGAGGAAAGCTGAGAATGGATGGGTGAACAGGAGATGAGCTAGGAGGGAAGAGTGCCCCGACAGAGGGAGGGAATTAGAGGAGCTGCCAGGGTGCAGCCAGCCACCCAGCGTTTACGAAGCATCGTCAAAGGGTCAGGCCCTGCTCCAGGAGGGGGTACAGTGGTGCGTGAGATGTGAAGTCCCTCCTCAGAGGGACAGTATTCCAGGGGCAGGAGACAGTAACCATACAGATCGATCATCTCGGGTGTGGTGCTGAATGCTCTGAAGAAGATAGACTACGTGGTGTGGAAGAGGGGTGGGGGAGGGCTGCTGTGTTCAGACAGGGTGGCCAGGGGAGGCTTCCCTGAAGACGTGGCCCGGTACTCACCCCTGACTGGAGAGAAGGAAGCACTGTGGGACATCTGGGAAGAGAGGCCTCCAGGCTGCACTGGTTATGCCAGGGCTGCCAGAAAGTGCTACACACTAGGGGACTTGCACAACAGAAACCCATTTTCTCCCAGTTCCTGAGGCTGGAAGTCCGAGACCATGGTGTGTCAGTAGGGTTGGTGTCTGCTGAGACCTCTCCTTGGCTTGCAGATGGCCGTCTTCTCCCTGTGTCTTCATGTGGTCTTCACTGGGTGTGTGCCATGTCCACATTTCCTCCTCTTATAAGGACACCGGTCATATAGCTTAGAGCCTGCTCTCATGATCTTATTTTACCTTAATTATGTTTTTAGACACTTTGTCCAAATACAGTCACATTCTGAAATGCTGGGGGTTAGGACTTCGACACATGAATGTGAGTGGATGCAGTACAGCCCATAACGCAGGCCAAGGACTAGCAGGTGCCCAAAATAAGTCTGGCACGTTTGCAGCACCAGAAGAAGGCCAGTGGCAGAACCTGGGGTAGGGGAGGCGGCGGAGAGGGTGCAGGTCTGGTGATCTCGGTGAAGGAGGGGTTTGGATTTCTGATTCAGCGTTATGAGACACTCCTGGAGAGTTTCATAGGGGAGTGTCACCAGCGATCGATCTTTAGGGAGACTGCTGGGTGGAGGGTGGGCTGCCCCAGGAAATGGTGGAACTAATCCAGGAGAGGTGGTGGTCGCCGCCCAGACCAGAGTGGTAGGCAGCACGTGGAAGAAGTGGTCAGGCTTGGGAATATTTTGAAGGTAGTGCTGATAGGAGCCCGTAGCAGGCTGGATGAAGAATACATGCAGGAGCCAGGACCCAGGGTGGAGGGTGGACCCCAGCGTTGTTGGGCCTGAGTATCAGGCGGACGATGGTTCTATGAGCTGAGAGATGGGAAGGCTCAGGGGTGGGAGGGTAGAGACAGTGAGGGACTTTGCAGTCTGGGCCCATCAGCTGTCTGAATGGAGATGTAGACAGGTGAATCTAGGGTTCTGGGGGGAGGTCCAGGGTAGAGATACAAATCCTGTGGGCATTAGCATGTGGGCGATAGCTGAAGCCTCAGGACGGGGCAAGCAGAGACAACACTGAGGCCTCTGCTCTGGGGTGTGCAGCCTCTGGGCCTCTGCTGAGGAACCGGAGCCAGCAAAGGAGACTGAGAAGGAGCCACCACTGCATCTCCAAGTACAGTGTTGGAAGGAGGAGGGTGCAGTGAGCCGAGTGGGGGCGGCTGTGCTGCCGGAAGCGCTGCCAGACAAGGAGCTCTCTGGCAAGAGCTGTTGTGGTGGAGCAGCCGGCAGAAAGGCCCGGCTAGATTGGGGAGAAGAGAGAATAAGAGGCGAGAAATTGGAGATAACGGGGCAGTAACTGGGGTCAGAGAAGGGATGTCTTTATTGCAATTGTCTTTACCGATCAGAATGATCTCGTGTTAAGGCAGCAATTGATGATGTGATAACAAAGGAATATATTTCCAGGTGTGAAATCCTGAGATGGCCAGAAGGGGTGAGGTCCAGAGCACAGGGCAGGAGAGAAAGCGGAGCCCAGCTGCATGGCCAGCGGTGGCAGTGGGCAGGTGGCAGTGGGTGGCTGGGCCAGAGGCCAGAGAAGGCCGCCCAGAGGGGGCCCAGGAGGACAGAGGTGGGGCATGGCTTTCAGGGGTGCTCAGGGTGCCAGGAGTGATGACATGGGGAGTAGTCATGAGCAGGACACAGAGCAGGGGCTGAAGTCCCGGTGGGTGCAGGTGTGGGACCCAGAGTTTGGTTTGGAGGGGCTGAGGTCTTGGAACAGGACAGAGAGTTTGGGAAGCAGCCAACAGCAGGGAGGGTCCTTCCGTCACCCCCAGGCCTGACGTGTGAGGAGTGTGGAAGACCAGAGGGTTTCAGAGGGGCGTGTATCGGGGAGCCCAGTGTCAGGGGAGGAAGGTGAGTGGAGTATTCAGAGGTGTGTGCTGATGCCAATCCAGGGGGCCCTGTGGGAGGGAGTGGGGGGCAGGCGGAGATGGAGACAAAGCAGGAGATGTGGAGAGGCAGATCCGAGGGACCCCTGAGGCAGTGCCTGAGGGAACAGGAAGCCTAGAGCAGATTGGGCACAGGAGGGGTGCAGGGCACAGCTGGTAGGTAGCTGGCCCCTGCCTGACTCTCCGGACAGGTCTCAAAGAGCCTACGTATCCTGCTGATGAGTTTGGACTTTATCCCAACTGTCAGTAAGTGACAGGGACCTGGGTGAGTGGCAGAGAAAGGGAACTGGGATTTGGAGTTTGGGAAGAGATGGGGTCAGCTCTAGAGTGACCCCTATAAGGCGGACAGGTATGCAAGGAGACCCCGGGCCCCTCCTCAGAAGGTGGGCCGTGTCAGGAACAGAGTAGGGGCTGGTGGGCGCAGGCCGCCCCCGAGGACCCCGTGACCGGAACACCATCTCCCCTCCCTGTAGCCGAGGCCCAGGAAGTCCTCCAGGCCATCCGGAGCTACGTGCGCTTCTTCTTCGGCTGCCGAGACTGCGCCAACCACTTCGAGCGGATGGCGGCGGCCTCCATGAACCGGGTGGATAGTCTGAACAGCGCCGTGCTCTGGCTCTGGTCTAGTCACAACAAGGTCAATGCTCGCCTGGCGGGTAAGGAAGGACCGCCTCCAGGGCTGGAGTCACCCCCAGAGGAAGAGGGAGGTGAGGGAGTTTGGGGGACCTGGACCAGAGGTAGGAGAGGGACACTCAGCGTCCCCGAGGGGACACCCCATGTTCCATGGTGCTTCACGGCGCGCAGGGCCCTTCCACGTGCTCTGCCTGCCGTGCTGAGGTAGGTCAGTGTCCTTAGACCTGTTTTCCGAGTGAGGAAGCTGAGGCTTAGACGCTCTAGGACCGTGGTCTTCTGATGCCTCTGCTCACTCTGTCCCCTGCACTCTGACCCCTTCCTCAGAATGCCTGGGGTCCCTGTCCGGCCTCCCCTGTTCTGCTTTCTGACTGGCAGCTCCTTCCTGACTCAGACCATTAGCGAGGAGAGCCGGGCTGTTCCACCCACTAGGAGGGCTCTGGCAGTGAAATGTGCTGGAAGAGAAAGACCGCGTGGACCGATTGTCTTCCCCACTTACAGTGTTTTCTACTCCCAGCGCACAGGAGTGGGACGTGCCCAACAGGCAGAAGCATTAAACTCCAGGGTGACCAGAAGCTGGCGGGTCAGGAGGGAGCCATCTGTGGTCTGCCGGGGGCCTGGGCTTATCTGTGGGGAGGGGGAAAGCTTGAGGCCCACGGTCACCGCCCCCCTCCCCAGGGCTGGGGGGGTTAAAGGAGCGAGTGGAGCAGGTGGTGGTGCAGACTGTGCTGTGCTAGCTCTGTCTCCTGGGGCCTCCTGGTGGACTCGGGAGAGAAGGACACGCCAGTCTCTCCTCTCACCCCTTCCCTCCCCGCTGCCACCCCGCCCCTGCCGCCACATGCTCCATTTGACCCTCCAGCCCCTTGACCAGGGCAGGCTCCCTGCTTCCCTTGGGACCCAGCAGGAGGGCCAATCAAGGCTACTCCTGGAGGGGCCCAAAGGAGGGCAGTACCCTGACCTCTGTGGCAGAGTCCTTGCGGCTCAAACTGGCTCAAACTAGGAACAGTTCGAGGCAGGTATAAACTGAGTGCGCACTTTGCAAGGCAGGTCTCTACTGCTTCTCAAGGCATCTTTGGAATCTATCTGATGTCCTCTCCCCAAAGTAACTATTCTGACTTTTACATCACTTGCCCCTGCTTCATTCCGATCCGCACCTTTTTCTTACCCCTATTAAACCCTTTAGGAGAGGTGCCTCCTCCAAGCCATCTGGGCTGATGGGTGTCCCCAGGGTGACCCGGGCCAGGAGCAGCCAGTGGCGGCCCTTGGGGGCTCAGCCATCGGGGTAACTTCCTGAGTCTCCCGAGTGCCCTTTCCCCATCCAGGCCCCTGGGCACCCCTACACACAGCCATCAGAGCCCACCTGGGAAGGAAACCCTGCTGACTCCTACCTATCCCCGGGGGCTGCTGGGACAGAAAGGAGGACACCTGTGGAATGACCACCCACCATGAACTCTTGTTTTAAAACACATTTTCCCTTTAAATTACAAAAGTAATGTATCTTCACTGTATAAAACTTGGGGAATTTCAGAAAAATATGAAGAAGAAAACGACCAGCCAGGCCAACCAAAGTCTGCAAGACGGAACGTCTTTCAGCCCTTTCCCGTGCCTGGGAGGGGGTGGGGTGCAGCCCAGCAGCAGAGCTGATGAGGAAGTGGCAGCAGGGGGCTGTTCTCCGTCCCTGGGGGCTGTGGGGGGCTGCGGGTAGGAGTCGGCCCTGACCAGAGCCACACCAGCACCGCCCTGTGCTAGTTTGGTCCCTGGCTTCTATCACGCCCATCACTTCCAAGGGCAGCGGTGAACCCTTTTTGCAGACGAGGAAGCTAGCATTCTGAGTGAGGAAGGAGTTCTGGGCTTTGAGGTGGGCGCAGTGGTGACAGCAGCCTGTGTGTGCTTCCCTGCCCAGGTGCGGCCAGCGAGGACCCTCACTTCCCCAAGGTGCAGTGGCCACCCCGTGGACTCTGTTCTGCCTGCCACAACGATCTCCGGGGTTCGCCTGTGTGGGACCTGGACAACACCCTCAGATTCCTCAAGACCCACTTCTCCCCAAGCAATGTTGTCCTGGACATGCCTTCTGCTGTACCGGGCCCCCAGATGGGTGCCCTGAGGATGGCAGCCGGGAATGTTACTCTGAGCCCCAAGAAGGCTGGGATCGCGGTAGGCCCAGGGACCAAGTCTCCCAGAACCACTGTTCCTGAGGTTCCCACAGAGAGACTCAGTGCCACGTACCCCCAGGATATGCTCCTCGGTCTCAGTGTGACGCCAGCTGAGCCAGACCGGGGATCTCGTGAGCACAGAGCAGAGCTTCAGATGGATAAGCTGGAGCAGCCAAAAGGGCAGCAACACTTGACCAAGCGAGACACGGGAACAGTATTGCTGGCTGAGTTCCTGGCTGAGAAGAACCTCCCCAGAAACCCTTCAGAGCTGAGGCGAGTGGGTCGCAGCTCAAAGCAGCTGGCCAGCATTCCTGAGGGGGAGCCGGAGGCTGGGCCCATGGGGGGCCGGGACCAGTGGCTGCAGGTGCTGGAAGGGAACTTCTCCCACCTGGACATCAGCCTCTGTGTGGGGCTCTACTCCCTGTCTTTCATGGGCCTTCTGGCCATCTATACCTACTTCCGGGCCAGGATAAGGGCACTGAAGGGCCATCCTGGCCACCCCACAGCCTGAGCCATTCAGCCTGGGAGCGGGGCAGGAAAGGGAGCTGCCACTCATGGTGCTCTTCCAGCCCCCTGCCCCTCTCTCCCCTTTTTCCCCTTGTTCCTTGTCCAGGGAAATCCAGGGAAACTAGTTGCTCCAGTGAACTCCTTGGGCCTTCTGGGAAGGAATGTCCCATAGACATAAAAGCATGCATAGGGTTTGCGTTCAGCTGACAACACCCGGGAGGGCAGCCTTGGGCAGAGGGGTTGGGAGGCTCAGTCCCTGGCCCCTCAACACCAGCTTCCTCTTTTTCATCTTATTCAAAGTCCTGCCTGTTCTCGCTGAAACTTCCATGTCTCCCCTTGGTCTTGGCCCTAAACTGGGGCAAGCAAGGCCACAGCTCCCCAGTTTCCCCATCCAAAGGGGAGGGGTCCAGAGCTAGTGGGCTAGAGCAGAACTCTGCTATATTCCAAGGTTCTGTCCATCCCCCTCTCTTCTGAATATAAAGAGGCCTTCGTGCCAGAGAAAGAAGGATTGCCTCTGGCCCTCTGTGGCCTGTTTATCCTCCAGCCCCTCACATCTCCAGGATGGGGTTTGCTCTGTGTGTGTGGATGGCGGGGGGGGGGGGGGGGGGGCGTGTCTGGAAGCTTCTGAAAGTCCTGCTGGTCTCCCAGGTGAGGCTTGAGTCAGGGTTGGAAGGAGGAGAGCCTCTGGATCCTTCCCCAGACCTCTGCCGCTGGAAGTGGTGTGGACTTGGATGAGTGATGGCCACAGGGCTGGGTGGTGAGCAGCTGGCTCAGTGGGACTGGAGAAGAGCTAGTATGGGATTTAGGGAAGGGTACTGGTGTCTTTAGTGCCTTGGCTCTGGGCTTAGCTGTGAGAGTACAGCGAAGCCACAGGAAAAAGATGGTTGCTTCAGATGTGCTTTGGCTCCTCCCCAGTGGACTCTACCCGGCTTGGAGTGGGGTCTTTTGTCTTTTGATCTTGGCCTCCAAAACAGATGCTAATCTTTGAATGTGGAGGGTGCTGGAGTGAGAGGGGAGTATCATTTCTCTTGAGGGTCCACCTCCCGTCGTGTAGAGGTTAAAAGGGTCAGAGGGGAGGGTGACTATATGTACACATGCTTGATTCCCACTCTACCCCACTGCTTGGGGTGGGGGGTTGTGGAATAAATTATTTTTGTTAAGGCAAGCCCTGGCGTGTTCTTGAACTTACTGTTTGAGACCTAGTACCCAGGTCTGGGCAGCAGGCACAGAATCCAGCCTCAGTGGGGATCCAGCCAGCCATGATTTCTGTCGGCTCACGTAGCTCCTGCCCCGCAGGGGACACGGTGACCTGGCACAACCCCTTTCTCCTGGTTGGGGCCCTCTGAGCCCCTGCCGCCTCCACATGCACCAGGAGGCCGATAGGCCTTGGTGGAGGTCTAAGGCCACCTCCTTCTGTCCCCCCCAGGCTCTCCAGAGCGCCTGCGTCGGTGCTTCCAGTTCTGCTCCAGGAACCTTCCTCTGCGCCTGCCCAGGGCTCTACAGCCACCCCTCCTGCACCTCCGGCTCTCTCTCTCAAGGAAGGAGAGGGCTTGTTTGTGAGAGCAGGCTGCCGCTGGCTATTCAGCAAGGAGGAGCCTACCAGATTAGAGAGCCTGCCCCTAATCCGGCCTGCTGGGTTTTACAAGGATCAGAGCGGCTGATAATGAACCTCATTAAGGGGGAGCAGGGGCCTCAATCGGATTTGGGGTTTTCTCTCTGACATCTTCACTCAGATGGCCTTGGCACCGGTGGGCAGTGGGGAGCAGGTGGGATGCCAAGCACCCTCACTCTGCTAGGGCAGCTGGGATGGGGGACACAGGCAGGGGTCAACCCCCCCCCATCCCTGCTTGTGTCAGCCCTGTGTTACCTCTTTAGCTGGATGGATTCCAGCCTGGAGCCTCTCTGCAGGCCTCTCGTCTGCCTGCAGGTTCCCTGTCTGTGTCCCGAGGGGGTCCACTCATCCATCTGCCCCCTCTATTCTCCTAGGCTGGCTCTGCCCCTTTCCCCTCTGCCCCACTGGGGTCTGGCTGGGAGGCTGACAGGCCAGCAAGAAGGAGAAAGAGGTCCTAGGGCCAGCGTACACCGGGCCGAGACCACCCACCTTGCTCCTCTGGTACCTGGTACCTGACACAGTGTCACCGGCAGAGGATTTCCATCAGTGAGCCCTTCTGGCTCTGGTGAGGCAGGCTCCGGGGGGGCCTCGACTGTGGGTGTGGGCCTCTCCCTCACAGCCCAGCCTTTCTTGGGCTGTCCCAGCCACTCTGATTGATCAACAAGGGTGGGCCCCTCCTCAGCGGGGCTGCTGCCTTTCACCTTGATTTCCCCAGGGCACGCTCTGCGGCATCGCCATCGATAAACGGGCTTGCCCACCAGCCTGGCCCCTCCCCCAGCCCGTCTGCCAGGCTGGGAGGACGGGCTTCTGTGACTTGCCATTCTAGGACGGGCTTCTCTGCTTGCCATTCTAGGTGGTTCTCTGCATCCTGGGAGAGCTCCCACTCAGGAGAGGGTCCTCAGGGAAGCCCTGCAAACCGAAGGCTCCTTGATCTGGGGCTGGACAGAGAAATTCCCCTCTGCCTGGAATGCGGCCTACTGAGCATTCAGAAATGATTTCTTAGAGATGGAGGCAGCTGAGCTGGCTTTTGAAAAATGAGTGGGTGTTAGCAAGGAAAATGAGGAAAAAGGCATCACAGACCAAGGGGAAAGCACATGCCAAGTCCAACAAAGAAAATAACGAATACAGGAAATTCTCAATAAAAAATATAGAATTTTTTTTATTAAAAAAAAATTTAAGGGGCATCTGGGTGGCTCAGTCAGTGGTGCATCTGACTCTTGATTTCATCTTAATTTCGGCTCAGGTCATGGTCTCAGGGTCTTAAGATCCAGCCTCACCACGGGCTCTGCTCAGTGGGGAGTCAGCTTGAGATTCTCTCTCTCCCTCCCCCTCTGCTCCTCCTCCTCACTCGTACACACTTGCTCGCTCACTCACTCGCAAAATAAATTTTTAAAAAGAACTTTAAGGGTTTTTTTCAGTGTTGCCCTGGACTAAAGCTGGGGATACACAGAAGATAGGGTTCTCACTGTTGTGGTGCTTCACTCTAAAGGGAAGAGACAGGAGAGAAAAATGTGCTCAATGCTCTTAAGGAGGGGCCAGCAGGAGGATTGGGGGAGGCTTCCCTGAGAGCTGAAGGATGAGAAGCCAGGGGGTGACCCCATCTCCAAGCCTGGTTCCTCCTGGGCAGCCTTGGCATGGGGTAGGGGTGCGGGGCAGGTGCTTCACATCATTCCCTGGGTGTGGGGGTAAGGACTGGGCTCTAGGGGACCCACACAACCTTGACCCTTGGTTATCAGCAGTTGAAGGAGGAGGAGATCTCTTTCATTCCTATGGCTTGGCCACTAACCAGCTGCATGTGACGGGTAAACCATTCATCTCTTGGGTGCCAGCCTCCTCACCTCTAAGATAAAGGCCTCAGATGAAGCTTCATGGTCTCTAAGGTGCCTTTACCTCTCTACAGTGCTTTCTTGTCAGCTCAGCGAGGGGGCATGTCCCTTCAGAGCCTTCCAGTAAGGACTTCTGGCCAAAGGAAATCACAGCCTCTGTGATTTGTGCCCTCTTGGAAGCCCAGGATGACCATGAGAAGGGAGCGCTCATACCAGCACCCCACAGGTGTCCTGCACTGTGCCCCAGCACTGCCTGAGTCTCCCCCCGGATTGCCTTCCTGAGCCAGCTCCAGGGCCAGCCCAAGGACCCCACCCTAGAGTCCCTCTTCTTCCCCTTTGCCTCATTTTAGGCCCCACCTCCTAGGAAGGCAAAGGCTGTTTCTTAGGCAGGTTGATAGGATTTCCCCCCTTCACATAGTCACCAAACCCCTGATCCCCTGTGCCTGGCTTGCCTCCTCCTCAGGCCTGCCTCTGCAGCCCCCACAGCAGTGCGGGGCCCTGGCTTCTCCTGGCTTTTCCAACCTAGTCCAGCCTGTGCCTCCCACTTGCCTCCTCTCTTCCTCTGCCACCTCTGTGTGGCAGTGTGTGGAGGGGGTCCTTCACACCCAGGATGAAAAACAACTGCTCTTCTCATTCGTCTGTCTCCTGCCCTGGGTCTTAGCCCTCCTGACGGGCCCCCCGGCAGTGCCACCTCCTCAACAATGAGTGGCCTGCCTCATGGCCTCAGGATCCCAGTTCCTGGAGCGACTCTGTTCACCGCATGCAGATCCCCTCTCAAAGCCTCTCTGCTCTCGAAGACAGCACCCCCAGTGGGTGTCTGCAGGAGCGTGGCTGGAGTACACGAGATTGGTGGCCCAGTCTCTCTGCTCTCCCTCCCTGGCCCCTTCTCTCTAGGCTTTACCTCTGCCTGGGGAATGTGTGTGCCGGGCTTGGGTCCCAGGCAGGAGGGAAAGGATCTAGAAGTCACAAGGCAAAGTCTGGGGGTGGGGATGGGGGGATCCCTCCATTAACATGAGGGGATGAAGTTAAGGGGGAGCTCCACAGGGGTGCTGACCTTGGGGGAGTCAAGGAAGACCCAAGGAGCATCTGCTTAGATGTTAGGGTGCGATCCATTTGAGTTGGCAAGTTTCCAGGTATCTCATTGGCAAGACTTGCTCATCTCTGTACTGAGAAGCAAAAGGCCTTTCCCTGGGGCTGCCAGGCTCTTCCAGAGGAAAATGGGCCTCCGGGCCGCCTGTGAGACCACTTTTTCCGCCACCAGGAGAGCATGACCTGCCTCTCACCAGCGTCAGCTGTAAGGCACTGCCACCGCAGAGAACCTTGTCTACCTTGATCTGCTCTGCACAGTCCTCAGCAGGTCCTCAACCATCAAAGCTTCGGCTGTTCACATAGTTCTGCCTGGAAAGAGGGAGGGACCTTTGGGCAAATGATGTTGAGGATATTGATTATTTAAGGAAAACTCAGCTAGGATCCCACCTTCACACCATACGCAGTGATGTAAAGAGAATAAGGCATAGGAAAATATAGTTGAATACTATTTCTGTAAGCATAAAAACAATTGAAAATGTAACTGAGGTGAGCGTTTGATCTACTTGACAACACCAATTTTTTAAAAATAAGTTTAAGATGGGGCACCTGGGTGGCTCAGTGGTTGAGCGTCTGCCTTTGGCTCAGGGTGTGATCCCAGGGTCCTGGGATCGAGTCCCACATCGGGCTCCCCACAGGAAACCTGCTTATCCCTCTGCCTATGTCTCTGCCTCTCTCCCTGTGTCTCTCATGAATAAATAAAATCTTAAAAAAAAATCTAAAAATGAAATCAAGCTATATGTTAAAAAACTGGGAAAATATGTACCTTAAATATGATAAAGGCATATGACTATTATGAAATATGCAATCGTAAGAATGAGATCAGTTTGCATAAAAAGATGCCCGAGAAGGATGCATTTTTGTAAACATAAATACTATTATTTATTACTATATTATTTTAAAATGTATGTAGTGGGGCACCTGGCTGGCTCACTCAGAAGAGCATGTGACTCTTAATTTGGGGGTTATAAACCCCATGGTGGGTGTAGAGATTACTTAAATCTTGTGCACCTGAGTGGCTCAGTCGGTTAAGCGTCCAACTCTTCGTTTCGGCTCCGGTCATGATCTCAGGGTTGTGGGACTGGGCCCCACGTCAGGCTCCTGGCTGGGCTTGGAGCCTGCTTAAGATTCTCCACACACACTACCCATGCTCTCTCGCTCTCTCTCTCTCTCTCTCTCTCTCTCTCTAAAATAAATAGGTCTTTTAAAAAATAATGATTAAAAAATAAAATCTTTTAAAAATTAAAATGTATGTAGTTATATAGAGATATATAAACGTTAATGTTTGTCTACAAAGTCTGGAAGAATCTACACCAAACCCTGACCAGTGGTTATATTTAGAAAGCGAGATTAGAGTGGCCTGGAATCAGGGCTAGGACGCTACAAAATTTAAGGAGACACTTATCCTCAGGTTTGGGCCCTGAGAGCAAGCGCCCCTTAAACTTGGGGCCCTGGGTATCTCCATAGCCTCACCCTAGTCCTGGCTCTGACATAAATACCTTTTCGAATTTTTGCAATAAATAACATTTCTTTTGAAAAGAAAGAATAACAGGGAAGATAACAAGGATTAAAGGTTTTTAAAGTTCTATTGTAAATAAGGAAATTTATTAAAGCCATGTTGAAAATAATGGGCTGAAGTAT